AAAATAGAAAAATACGAAATAAAATTACAGAAATAAAAGATTAAGAATAACAGAGTGAAGAAGCAATTTAAATAATTATAAGAGGTTTATTTTAAAGAAATGCTTGGAAAAATGGATAATAACATAAAAGTTAAAATAATTAATAAAAATTAATTAAAATATATAAAAATAATATACTGCGTGTCAAAAGTTTATTTGAAAAAATTAGAAATTTTGTTCGCCAATCGGGTGATTAAACGAGGTATTTCAAACGTTAGTCGGCTTAATTAATCAGTTATTTATCTATCTTCTAATCCCAATATTTACCGGAGTTCGAGAATTACTCGGAAGTAATTTTAATTTCGCCCTGTCGATTAGTTTAATTAATCTTTCTTGGTGTGATTTTTAGATGGTTACGAATATTTGACGTGGTCTTTGTCACAGATGGTAGCTACTGTAAAAATATTTGCATAAATATTACTGAGGAGGGATCAGGGAAATGCGTTTAAATAAAACATCTGGAAATGAAATAATTTCTGAGTAATTCTTGAACTCCAGAAACAGTCGGATTAAAAGGACAAAAAGTATTTCGAATGTTCGTTAAATTAATTAATTAATAAACAAGATTTCTTCAAAAATTGTCATCTTATGTATGTTAGAACTATTCGAGGGTTCTACGCTTCCAATAAATATTTGAAAATTTGGCAGTTTTCTTAATTTATTATCAATTTTGAAGATCGACAAATTCAGGACGAAAGATTTTCATCCAAATCCAAATCTTGTTATAAACGTTTAAAAAGTTTTTTCCAACGTTTCCTATTCATGCGGAGATAAATCTTTTATCTTTCTCTTATCTTCGTATTCAAAAAGTTTACGTTCAATTCTGGAAATGAGTTGTTGCTTAAAATCTTTAAGAATCAATGACAGCGCTACTATTTTCCTAATACGGTAACTTTTACATTAAATTTAAAATTTTATATTTCAAACAAGATTTTTATGCCGTTCGCCAAATCCTACACGCGTGTTCAGAAATTAATTGTCTGTTTTTAATTTTTAAAAATGATCGAACTTTTGAACATAAAGTTGTTTGTTCTGTTGTTTACAAACGTTAAGTAGGACAATCGAGCTTTCGTATAGGACGTAGGATGCGTAATTGTAATTGTATACCTGTCCTGCCGAAAGTAGTACCGGAGGCACATTGTAAGGAACGTAATTGTGAAATCAGTTTATTTCGTAAAAATTAAAAAAAAAACAAAAATGCATAAAAGCAATTGTTAGAGCATTTGAAAATAGTTGTGTGTAAACATCGAAGAATAAACGATGATTTAAGGACATAATAAACAAATGACGGCAGGATTATTTAAATGTAGGATGTGGAAACAGGAAGAGGGCGGTAATTCTTAATGTAGACAGTAAGAGTTGGTAAATTTGAATACTAAAATGACAGGGATAACAAAGGAACATCAGTATTGAATAGCTGTTAATAAAAATGCTATTAGTTAAAAATGTCGGTTAGCGTTTATAGATCAAAATATCTTCTTCTTCTTTATGTGTCTTCTCCTGTCAGGAGGTTGACAACCATTTCATGCCACCATGATTTATCTCGTGCTTCTCTTGAGCACTCTTCATACGTTAAGTATGTCCAATTCCTGATGTTGTTGAACCAGTTCTTTCTTGGCCTACCCCTACCTCTTTGCCCTTCTATCATTCCCTCTAGTAATAGTTTTTGTAGGCTGTTGTGTCGCATAACATGCCCCAGATATCTCACAATTCTTTTCCTTACTACTTCTAATAAGGTCCTTTTCTGGTTTGCAATTGCCAGGATATCTTCATTTGTTCTTCTTGCCTTCCAAGAAACTCTCAGCATTCTCCGANTTTTACAATGTGTGTATGTGTAATAATTTATATTGTTTAAAATTTTAATGCATGCATTGTTGTATGCTACTATTTTCGTAATAAATGTTATAAACTTATGAGATATTTTTTGATTTTCTTCGATATGTCCTTTATTTTCCCCAAAAAAATATGGTCACTGTAACTATTCTTTTCCTTACTACTTCTAGTAAGGTTCTTTTCTGATTTGCAATTGCCAGGATATCTTCATTTGTTCTTGCCTTCCAAGAAACTCTCAGCATTCTTCGAATCATCCACATTTCAAATGCCTTTAATTTCTTTTCATTATTTGCATTTATTGTCCAACACTCTGCTCCATAAAGCAGGGTTGACCAAACATAACATTTTGCCAACCTAACTCTTGTTTTTGTACTAATCTCCCTTGAAGTCAACACTTGTTTCATGTTTGTAAATGCAGTCCTTGCAATTCCAATCCTTCTTCCAATTTCCTTATCACTCCTTCCATCATCTGTAATCATATGTCCAAGATAGACATAACTTTTGACCTGCTCCAGTTTACTGTTTCCGATTTTAATATTTACGTTTGGAGTTTCTTTCTCGTTGGAAATGACAATAGTTTTGGTCTTTTTGCAGTTCAGTGTTAGTCCAAGTTGATTATTCAATTTTGTAATTTCCTCTATCAGTATCATTAGATCCCTTTCATTTTCTGCCAATAGCACAGTGTCATCAGCATACCTAAGATTATTGAAATTTCTGCCCCCTATGTTTACTCCTTTTAGATCTTTTACCTGACTGAAAATTCTTTCTGTATAAAGATTGAACAAAATTGGAGACAGCACATAGCCCTGCCTTACTCCTTTTTGAATTGAACATTCTTTGCCAATCCTTATTGTAGCTCTCTGTCCCCAGTATAAATTGGCAAGTAATCTAACATCCCTTCCATCCATACCATTTTCTACTAGACATCTAATAAGATAATCATGTTTCACATTATCAAATGCCTTTGTATAGTCTATAAAACATACAAAAATATTCTTCTGTTTTTCCCTATATCTTTCAATAATAGTTTTCAGGTTGAAAAGTATTATTGAAAGATATAGGGAAAAACCTTCTCTTGTTCCTTTATTCTCTTGGAAACCACTTTGTGTTTTACAAATGTCTTCTGTTCATCTTCCTTTGTTTCTATTTAACAAGATATAAGTTAGAACCTTTGCCACATGACTAATTAGGCTTATGGTTCTAACTCCTCACATTTATTTGCTTTTGATTTTTTGGGGATTGGAACAAAATATTGACTGTTTGAAGTCTTCAGGAAGGTATCCCAGTTCATAGATGTCATTACATAACTTAGCCAGGGCTTTGATGCCTTCATCATCTAGAGCTTTAATCCATTCTGGCTCTATATCGTCTGGACCTACAGCCTTACTGGGTTTAAGTTTATCAATGGCTTTTACAACTTCCCATTTGAGTATTGGAGAGCCTTCTAACTTCCTGGGAGACTCAATCTTCCCCCTGTTGCCTTGGAATAATTCCTTTCCATATTCATACCACCTTTTCATTATATCCTCTGTCTCCAAGACTATTCTCCCATTTAAATCTCTTATACCATGTGCTTGAAAATTCCGTTTTTTAAAAAGTTACTTCTTTGATTTTTCCATGGAGTTCTTTTATTTTATTTTCTTTGTCCAAACTTTCAATTTCTTTGCATTTTTTGTTAAGCCACTCTTTTTTGGCCTTTCTACACTCTCTTTTTATAGATCTTGTTAAATTCTTATAACCTGGTTTATTTTTCAAACTTTTCCTATTCTCCATCATTGTTAGAATTTCATCAGTCATCCAAGGTTTGCTAATTTTCCTAATGTACTCTGGGATGTTATTATTAGCAGCTCTACTTACACATTCCTTAAAGGCATTCCATGCTTCATTGATATCCTCTATTGATTGATTATATTCTTTATTTATTTTATTGTTATTGATCTCCCTATTGAATTCTTTATTAAATTTTACTTTTATGTTCTCTTCCTTTAATGTTGCTGAATTTAACTTCTTTGATACTGACTTTTGCTTACAGATTTTTAGTTTAATTTTTGCTTCACTACAACTGGATTATGGTCAGAATTAATATCTGCTCCAGGATAAGACTTGACTTGTTTTATAATATTTCTGAATCTTTCCTTTATATTTCTGAATATTTCCTTTATATTTCTGAATCTTTCCTTTATATCTATATCCAGGGGACATATGATTCCTGCATATGTCCCCTGGACTTTTCCATGTATACACTCTTCTTGCTGGATGTTTAAACAGGGTGTTGGTGATTATCAACTTATTTTCCTCACAAAACTGAATGAGTCTATCTCCTCTTTTATTTCTCTTACCAAGTCCATATTGGCCCATGCATTCCAATATCTTCTCGTTGCCCACTTTTGTGTTAAAATCGCCCATAACTATGATTATATCATTTGATTTTGCCATTTCCACCAATTCCTTCAGATTTTCATAGAATATCTCAACATCTTCCTCATGTCCAGCTGTGGGAGCATAAACCTGGATTAGGAGAATGTCTAAGGCTGTGTACACACTAGGCGTTTTGTGTTGCGTTAAATGCGCGTTAGCAGCATACACACCAGGCATTAGACGAGCGTTTAGTGGAGCATACACACTGGCTCAGTTTGAAAATGGACGTGAAAGTAATTGCTTGTGTGCCCCTCCTCCATCGTCGCTATAAAAGACAATGGCAGAGGCAAAGAGAATTTTGGGTGCACCCAATATTACGAGATAGACTGACACATGGAATGTTTGCGATGTTGTATCCAAAACTAAGACAATATGAACCCAAGTTTTTTAATTCTTTTAAAATAGCTATAAAATTATTTGACAATGGTTGGTCTCTTTTAGATTTCATCAATAAATAGATCAGTATCGAAATGATCATTCTCCATTTCGGCCAACGTATGTCCACTCTATCCAAAAACACGTGATCGCATGTACAGTAACATGGCAGCACATATATCTCAAAGCGCTTGGCTGACGCCCGCAAAACGCGCATTTTAAGAAAAATCTATAAACGCACGCTTGGCCAAAAGTGCGCGTTTGAGTGTGTACACCTATGCAGAACTCTTGGTTCGTCAAACGCGCGTTTAAAAACGCCTAGTGTGTACGCAGCCTTAAGGTTGAGCAGCTATCTTTACTGCAATGATTCTCTCATTGACTACAGTGAAGCCATTTATTGATCTTGCTATACTATTCTTCATTATGATGTCTACTCCATTTACATGTGCCTCTGCTCCTGAGTACATTATTGTATATTCATTCTTGTAAAGCATTCCTGAACCTGTCCATCTTGTTTTGCAAATACCTACAACATCTAGCCTCATTGACTTTATTTCTTGAATGAGATTATCAAGTTTTCCTAGTTCATACAGTGTTCTAACATTCCAAGTTCCTATGTTAAGTAGTACATTCCTGGTCTTCAGTTTGGGAACTTCTGATATCATCCTCCCAAGTGGGGTTAAGATGGTCTCTTCATATTCTCTAATATTAGAGTCAAACTTACTATTCTCAGGACATGACTCCTCTTCCCTGTAGCATACATTAGAGGCACAGTTCGCAGGGGGCTCGACCTTGCCCCTATAACTAATTCTTTTAGTGGTAGCGGTTCTCATGGCTTACTATGGTGGAGGATACATGGTGAGGCTCCAATCTCTTTCGTGGTGATTGGCCACATCTCACTTTGGATGCCAAGAATGTGCCCTTAGTATGTCATGTACTTTTTTCTGTCATGCCATTACACCATTGATCTTTGATAGTAGATTCTTCTGCTGCACTGGCTATTCCAGATTCTCAGTGATAGATGGCAGTTTCCCAGGGTGTGGCTGTTGGCATGCACTACCAACTACTTGGAGCCATAAGTGAGAGTTGGGTCCTCATGGGAAACAGTCTACAGTGTCCACTTTTTCAGTGCAGCTGACACTTTCAAAAGTTATTACCCCTCTAAGAACCCCATACGTATGCTAGATATAAATAAATATTACAATTGAAAACATTTGTTAAACAAAATATAGTATTATCTATGGTATGATTTTGTATTTACAATACTAACCAAAATATTTGAAGATTCCCAATTTACTTATACCACTAAACTTTGTTATGCATTATTATTCATCTACACAGGATTTAAATTTTTATTACCACCAAACAACAATTTTTTAATTAATATACTGTATAAGAAATGTTGCACAGAAGGTTTTGATTTGTTTGCCACATTGTTAATTTTAAGATGAAATATGAAAATAGATTTATTTAATACAGTCCTATAGTCATTTCTGATATAGAAGTTCAATTTAATCTACAGTTAAGAAATTCATGTCTTATGTTGAAAGTCGATATTTTCAAAGGCTAAAAATATCAATAATAAATCACTGAATAATTGTGCTCTTTGCTCTGATCTGACATTGGTTGTATCTATTTTTATATACTGTATATATATATATAATTGAATAAGAATGTTGTATATTTGTTACAGTAATGTCACTTCAGTTTTTTGTCAAGATGGTCTTGACAAAAAAACTGGCATTATTGATAGGAAAAAACTTGGGAATGTGGAGTTGTAAAATTAAATTACCTGTAAATTATATGTTAAAAGATAAACATGCTTTATGTGGAGTAAATAATGTTAAATGAAATGTAACATGTTCTCAAATTTTCAGATGTTTGCTCATCTTTATGAAATGTCTAATGAAGGTTTAGTTTTTTGAGCAATTGGAGAATAGCAAATAAGTGTGACCGTAGGGTCGGCACCTCTTCGGTGCCCTGTCAGGATGACACCACCGAGTTTCTAGGGGACTCGGAAATCGCGACTTTATGTCACGAGATTCGCGAGCGGTAGCGTGTGAGTGCTTGGATTCGGAGTAGAGGTGAGGAGAGAGACGAGGAAGTGACTCACTCGGACTCCATATTTTCTAACAAACAATCAATTTTAATAATAAACAAAGAAAATACAGATATCGGCATATTAGCGGACTTAATTATACTATTCCGTTCGAGAGAGAGAGTTTACAACCGAATCGCAGGTTGATAAATACCTTTCTTTTTCCTAGGTCGCAGGTCTGCAGTATGATGACACTCTTGACTCCTCTGAAATGGTCTTTCCACTAGTTCTTGTCCGTTAATTGGATCTCGGATGTGTGGAAGCACGGAAGTGGGGTGAGATTCTTAAGGAGACACGGTGTTACTTCTGTCACGGTGTTATTTCGGGATTTTGGTGCACGGGTTTTAATCCTGGGGCACGGTTTGAATCCTGGATCACGGTTTTAATCCTCGGATGACGACTTCTGTAGAGGGACTTCGGATGACGACTTCTGTAGAGGGACTTCGGATGACGACTTCTGTAGAGGGACTTCGGATGACGACTGACCTCGGGGTCGTTTTTCTTTTTCTCTTTTTTCATTCCTCTTGGGTTTATTCCATGAGGTCAGGTGATGGCCTTTAACGGTCGCCCGTCCAATATGTCTTTTCCATTCAAAGTTCCTGGTGACACATCCCTGACTAACTTGATCCGACTCAACAAGGAACAAACTCCGTGGGAAATAATTTTTAAGGCTTTTAGCCTAACTCGATAAAACGTTCGAATTTAACCGATTAAAGTTTCCAATAATTAAAATTTAAAATAACACTTTATTGTGGGTCTGTTCGTCCCTCACATCAT